TGTTTCTTTTCACATCCAGAGAAATATTCTGCCTTTTCAATATTTCCTAGGATATTTCATTTTTCTGGGAGAGGGCTGAATGATAACTTCCCACATACATAATTGCTTAGTAAACAGTGTATTATCTGGGTCGATTTACTGATACATAATCATAATTTCCAATTTCTACCTCTATTGTCTAACCATTGATAAAACAATGGTTTAAAAAACTATTCTGATCTTTATCCTTTATCTTTAATGTTGACCTATCCATTTCTGCAGTCTAGTGTTTTTAAAATTGTTTTCTGTAGGTGTTTTTCATTTTCCCAGTGTTGTGCAAATACAATTCTTGCTGCTGTCAAGACATGTAATATTAAATATACATTCCCTTTTATCATATTTTTGCAGGCAGTAAAGATTGATGAGGTGGAAAGACCAGTGGGCCACATGGTAGATCAAGGTAGTTCTCAACTTAAGACCCCAATTGAGCCCAAAATGTATGTTGTTTGTTAAGTGAGTTTTGCCTCATTTTACAACTTTTTTGCCACATTTTCTAAGTGAATTACTGCAGTTAAATTAATAATGTGGTGGTTAAGTAAATCTGGTTTCCCCATTGACTTTGCTTGTCAGAAAGCTGCAAAAAGTGATCCCATGAGTCTGGGACATTGCAACTGTCATAAATGTGAATAGCTTGTCAAGCATTTGAATGTAAACACATGGCCACAGTCATGTGAACAATGGTCTTAGGTCATTTTTTTCAGTGCCGCTGTAATTTTGAAAGGCCACTAAATGAATTGTAAGTTGAGGACTACCTGCATAAGAACCTTGGTATCTCACAGTTGCATGGGAACTCCCATGAAGACGCAAGGAAGAGCTAATAATGAAGTGCCACAATGGATGTGAAAGGTCCATCAAAGGAAAATAACATCCCAGTATGACCAAAGGAACAGAAAGGTCCTGAAGAGCCAGCTCAATTGGAAAAACAAGAACCACACAACACATGTGCCCTGCCAGTCATCAACTACCAATGAAGGACATGGGAACTACCAATGTGAAGACTCAGAATCTCCTCAGAATGTATGGAGGTTTCCACTCAAGTCCAACAACCAGAGACTACATCTGGAAAGAGAGGAAAGAGACGGTGGGGTGTCAAAGCTACTGTGCTGGATGAAACACAGAATATCCAGGAGTAGATCACTATGATGGTACCCAAAGATGAGCTGTGAATTTATTTCTATTTATTCTATTTATTTGCAAAATTTATAGGCCGCCCAATCCCGAAGGACTCCGGGCGGCTTACAGTGCAAAAAGAAATAGTAAGAAATAAAGGAAAGACAAATTTAAAAACATCACACATGCACTCGATCTGATCGGGGCTGCCCCTAAACAGTGGGGTAACCGGCCCCAGGCCTGCCGGAATAGCCAGGTTTTA